AAAATCAACACAAATTAGATATTGCAAGCAGCAACTACATTTTATGTAAAGTTTATACAATAATTCTTATTGGCCAGTGTGGGCAATAGCCCCATTTTTTTGAGAACAGAAAATGAATCAGATTACAGCAATTTTAGCTGTTTAAACAAATTTTATTTTAAAGGGTTATTTTTCAAGGCAAAACATGCCAGAGGTGACCCCTGCTACTATTCAATAAGTAAGGAAAGCACAGCAGCCTGGAGCATGGTGCTTCATTTCTTTTTCTGATTGATTTTCTAACAGCAATGAGCTGGACCAGAACCCAGAAATCTTGCGGCAGAGTCTGTGATGAAACACTTACATTGATTTGTATACATATATTTTTATGGAACTCCACCTTTGTGCTTGCATTCCTTTTTATAACTTACCCTGTTTAGGTTTTGTTTCTGTTGTACTCTTCTGCTGTCCTGGAACAAAATCTCACTTTAACCCTTTCCTTGCCACTGATGTAAGGCTTATCTACAAAAAGACCTCTTCCAGCACTTCAGGTCAGTTATCCACGTCAGCTGCAATCCCCATTCTGTTATAAGTTTATGGTCGCTCAGCCACATGAATTGCTGCCCTGTGATCTGAGGGCTCCTCCTGATTCATATGTTTACTATCTCTTCCACTTATGAATGAACACAGGAGTGCTCTTTACAGATCATTTCCGTGTTCATGATTAAGTGCTGGAATTAAGAGTAGAAGTTTGAGAACTCTGTGTCTGTAGCTCAAAAGGGAAATATTAGAATCCTCTTTAGACCTCTAATATTTCCCCCAAAAAACATTAAAAAACAGAAATTACTCCACACCCACACCTGCATACTTCATGCACAAGTGCACAACACCCGTTCCTTGTGGTAGTGCACACTACATATGTTGGCACAGTGTAATGCACTAACGTACTTAAGAGCCTGTTCACGCCAGCAGGTATGCACCATGGTGTGCATAACAGACTTGTCGGTGGGGGTTGTGCACAAGCGCTGTATGCACAGGTACAATGCATCACAGTGCTTGATTTGTTTTGTTTGTTTCTTTTTTAATTCTTTGTGGGCCAGTGCTTTTCGGCATACTGCTGCACATTGTGATGTACTGTAATGTACTGCATGTATGCATATATGGTTACATAATTTTATCACAACACATCACACACATTTCACTATAGTTTGGGCAATACCACAATGCATAAGAAGCCAGTCTCCAGATTTTGTGTTAGTACAAGTTGCTTATTTAGAGTTTAGTTTACCCTTGATTGAAGTTTTGAGACTAGTTTTGTAATACACCAACAGATGGCAGCTCAAGGTTGCAAGCACAGTCACAAAGGTAAAATTCTGCCTTAAACTTGGCAAATCTTCCATAGAGACATTGATATGATTTGGCAAGTTTACGGCGATGCTGCAATTAGTCGCTCAAGGTGTTTTCAATGGCACACGATCTCCAAGAGCGGAAGAACATCACTGAAAGATGATTAGAGATATAGAAGACCTTCAATGAGCTCAACCTCCGAAAATGTCGAAAACATTTGGCAACTTGTGCATGATGATCGGAGAACAATCCACAACATTGCTGCCATTGTTGGTGTGTCATACGAACAGTCGAGGCAATCCTCACGTGTGATTTGAACATGCACCGCGTTGCTGCCAAGTTCGTCCCCAGGCTGCTGACCCAGGAGAAGAAGGAACACCATGTCGAAGTCAGCTAAGAACTCCGTCAATGTGTCATGGATGACCCATCCTTCATGTTGAGGATCATTACTGGTGAGGAAACATGGATGTATGGGTTTCACACAGAATCTCACATTTGCTTTTTGTTCTAACTTTCTGTCCATGGTGAAATAGCAGGTGTGGTAATGGATGTGGTCAGCATAGCACAAGTTGCACAGCTCCCGATGTACACAGGATAATGTCTTTTGGCACACTAACTTATGAAGGTCGGTGCTCCCTATGATTGTGCATGCTGCCTTGTGCTGCCAATCTATTAGATTTAATAGGAAATGTGTAGGTTATGTTGTGTTTGTGAGTGCTAATAATTAATTTAGTGAACTTTTATCCAAACTATATTTTGATAATAATTTACTCAACTATCACAGGACCTGCAAAATCAGTAGCATATTTTTTTTAATCCATTGGTCCTGTGCTTTCTGAAAAAGTATGGTTTGGCGGATCTTTTACAAACTCTGTAAGCTTTAAGTGAAAAACAATAACAAAGTGAAAAATTGGTCACCTAAGGATAAAAGTGGAGCACAGGGCCTTGTAGTCAAAAAGTTAAAACCACAGTAAAACATTCAGCATTGGAACACATTATTGTTCATTTAAAATCCTATTGGTCATATTTTGTTTTTCATCAATGAATCAATTTAAACAGGACATTCCTAATGTAGTTCAGATATATGCTTGCACTGTAACTTTTACTTGTACCGGAAAGGAAAGGTTAAAAAGTAGCTCAAGCATCATATATGTGTGCTTTCAGATCAAGAATACATTAGATTTTTTCTTGTCATGTTATAAAAAGAAGCTAATTGGAATAGATGGAGCCTAATATTCGAGTATGATAGGTAGTAGCAAATTCACTAAAGCTAGCAAAAGGATAGACTAAAATCTTAGTAAGCTTTTGTCATATGTGAAAGGGATGGGGTTGATTTATTAAAAGCAAATTGGCTGTTCACAAGGGAATTGTAAGTTTGCAAGAGTATTTTCTCTTAGCTTGGTGAATGTAGTGAAAATTTAATTTGTGAGAATGCCCAATAATATGCATGGGAAAATAAAAGCAGTACTTTTACTTGTGCATGATTGGATAATGGAAGTTAGTAAAATTTCACCTCACTTAGTAAACTAAGTGAAAATTCCACTGTACAGTGAACAGAGTATTTATCTTTAGTAAATCAACCCCAATGAATCAGTAGTCGAAATCTACTAATTCTGGTACTTTACAGCACCACATACTTGCATGGTATGAGATACTGACTTGCAAAACGAAGTCTTTCAGCAGCACGCTGTCACAGCTGTCGGCACTTCCATCTTCACCCTGGTCTTCCTTCTGGGTTCGGGCTCTCTGACTGTTTGAATAACTGAGCCATGATGACTTCACTACCGTGCATCTGCACAGGAGTCACGATAGTTCTGGCTCTGAACTTATGGCACACTCAGTGTGATCTCATTGCAGAGCAAGTGTGCATGCACCAGTGGCATCACCAGCTGCTTCAACTGTGAGTATCTCCTAAACCTTATTATAGGATTGCTTTAGATGCAAATGAAAAAGTAGAGTTTATTATCATTTTAAAGTTAAACTTCAATCTTATCTTTGGTAGTACAGGCTTTTCTCTTGTACCAAAATTACATGCACTGATTTTTCTACACACTGTGAGCCTCTCACAGTGTGCCTTAGAAGTTGCAACAAGACGGATAGAGGCCACCCCTCTGGAAGACATCTAGCATCATTTAGCCTTTTTCTTGGCAACCTACTGTTCCTGACCAGCCCCTTTTACTTAATAGATTTCAATTCTTTAAATCATGATGGTTAGAATTTACTTGTACAGTATTGTATGTGTTACCTAGGGCTGTCTGCATGCAAATTTGCCCAGGAATACCCCCTCCACCAGGCCACCAGACTAACAGCACTCATCTATCAGGGCATTTTGAAATTTGCATTACAACTCCTGAGAGCTAGCTTGCTTGCATCAGATCTTGGGATTTGTGAGGGCAGTACTAAAGCAGGGAATACTCTGCTTGCCCTCTCACCAGCCATGATCTGCCTGCATTGCATGGAGAATCACAGAGGCTCAGTGATGAGATCACTGAGTCTAAAATAAGGTATTTAATGAAATCAGAAAGCTTTAAATAAATGTAATTAGCGCATTGATGAATGGGGAGAAGGGAAACCAGGGAAAGGAACAAGCAAATTAAATTCAGCTTTAACTCTCTACAGGACCAGATTTAACATTAAACATAGTAAAAATGTGTAGGTTAAGACAGACAACAAATGCTAAAGATGGGGAACCAAAACATTTTTGAAATGAAAAAAACACTTTGGGGTTTAATCATGAAATGCTCTATGAAGACTGATTTTACTACAAACAATACGGACCTGTAACAAGCAAGCAGTCACTGCTGTCTTATCTGTCTAGGTCTATGAAACCAAGATCAGGATGACAACTATGGAGCTTTCAACATTGAGAAATGGCTGTTTTACTATTTCTTTCTTATATGTTTGCTTTAACCCTATTTTTGTGGGGTCAGTAGACCTAAACACAATTGTACACATGAGAAATGTGTAAAAAGAAACAACCAAACCTTTGCTTCAGCTAATATATATAATACATCCTAATATCCACTGTTTACCAGCCATTCAAAGAAAAGTGATTAACTAGGTTTTCAAGCAGTATTAAACCCAAAATCAAACATTTATTATTTGCAGCTGATCAATACTTATATGTGATTGCTACATTCATTTTCCTTTTTAGACTTTCTTTCATCTATTTTCACCTGGCGATCTGGCCAGCAAGTCTGTTGTTTTCCAAAAGCTCAAGCTCTCCAGCAGAATATATCAGCTTACAGTACATGGATGACACAAAACATTTAACTCTGACAGGGGTGGTTTAAAATGATCAGCTTTTATTTATTCATGTAAAACCTTTATCTCAAAAGGAAAAAACTGTTTGCTGTAACTGATTATAAAGTGTGAGCTAAAGTTTGGTTTCAATTAGTTACTGTTTTTAAAGCTGATAATACATTTAAAACTGCCCTCCCCCAACACTGACAATGCTGCTGTCAGCAGTGCCTTCTACAGTGTAGGTTCATTCACCCAGAGTGGGGGCACTTTAACCACTAGCCTACAGGGCACTTATACCCCCTTCCTGCCCAGGCCAATTTCCAGCTTTTAGAGCTGTCACACTTTGAATGACAATTGCGCGGTCATGCAACACTGTACCCATATGCAATTTTTATCATTTTTTTGGGACAGATAGAGCTTTATTTTGGTGGTATTTATTTACCTCTGCGATTTTTATTTTTTTCCTAAACAAACCAAAAACCACTGAAAATTTTGAAAAAAAAATGTTTTTCTTAGTTTTTGTTATACAATTTTGTAAATAAGTGATTTTTCTCCTTCACTGATGTGTGCTAATGAGGCTGCAGTGATGGGCACTGATAGGCTGCACTGATGGACACTGATGAGGAGGCACTGGTAGGTTGCACTGATGGGCATTGACAGGCATCACTAATGGGCACTGAAAGGCAGCACTGATACATGACACTGATATATGGCACTGATAGGTGGCACTGATAGGTGGCACTGACTGGCACTGATAGGCAGCACTGATAGGTGGCACTGACTGGCCTTGTTAGGCGGCACTGACAGGCACTGATAGGCGGCACTGATGTGCACTGATAGACAGCACTGACTGACACTGATAGGCGGCACTGATAGGTGGCACTAATTGGCAGCACTGATAAGGTGGCACTGATTGGGATTGATAGGTGGCACTGACTGGCACTGATGGGTGACATTGAAAGGCAGCTCAGATGGGCACTGATATGTGGCATTGATGTGTAGTGGTAGGCACTGATATGTGGCATTGATGTGGCACTGATGGGCACTGGCACGCGGCACTGATGAGCACTGACTGCTGGCACTGATGGACACTGACAGGTGGCACTTCTGGGGCCACCCTGATCATCAGGGCACACTGATCATCAGTGCCCTGATGATCAGTGTACATGTCCCCTCCGCGGAAAGCCGATTACCGACTCTCCTCTCCTCTCGAGCTGTCAGCGTGACAGCTCGAGAGGAGAGAAATGCCGATAACCGGCATTTCCGTGTTTACATGTGATCAGCTGTGATTGGACACAGCTGATCACATGACCGAGCTGACATCTTCGGCTCTTTCCGTGATCTGCTGTGTCCGAGGGACAAAACGCACCGGTGATCGCCATGCTACGTACTCCCTGAGCCGTGCATGCGCGGTGAGAATCGAAGGACGTCATATGACATCCTTTCAGAACGAGAGAACCATCTTGCACCCGTCATTGTACTATATGGCGGACGGAAGGTGGTTAATACAAGAGGTGTGTTACTGGCCAGATCACCAAGTGAAAACAGAGGGGAAAAGCCAAATAAAGGAACACTGATGCAGCCACCGCATCTAGTGATTGGTGAGCTGCAATATAATACATTTTTGGTTTTGGGATTAATACCTCTTTAAGTTTATATGGTAAAATTAAGCAAGAAAACTGATTTGTCAGCTTTAGTCTCTATTTTCTCAACAGTTTAATAATATGAATTCTAATTTGGTTTGCATAAACTTAAATATGCATCATATACGTATAGATATAGTTATTGATTGATTGATTGATTGATTGATTAATTGATTTGAGTGAATTTTACATTAATTTAACTGATCCTGTATATCCTGTATAGCATACTTGCCAGTTAGTAAAAAAAAAAAAATCTGCACTGTTTCAACATTTTTTGCTGTGACTTTTAGCTTACATCTTTCTAACATTTTGCTAAAGAAGTAAAATAAAAATCAATGAGCATGAATTAAATAAATCACAAAATAATATTCTGATGACATTCATTTAAGAATGTAGTTCAACACCAAATAATCACCTAGCCTGACTAAATTAGTGCCTACAGTTTCTTAGGATTCAGATATATTGTGTAAAGATATCAATTCAAGGTCCTTTCAGAGGACAGGGTTATTTGATCTCTTGCTGCTGACTGACAACAGTAATGATCAGTAAACTAATCATTCATATTCTTCTAGAGGGAGATAAAAAAATGGTCAGGCTCAGTCATTCATGGCAGAGGATGGCAAGATGTTCAACTAAATTGTATTTGTTAGCAAGGCCATCCAGACACAGTGAATTAACGTAACACACACAGAGCAGTTGTTAAGGTGATGATTTCATTTAGGGATAACAAGACAACTGAAAATGCTAATTTAGTGGTCAGTGGTTGTTTTGTGCACTAATGGCCTCATTAATCAATGTCCAATAGCACTAGTGTAATGACCTTTAGACATTCATAATCCTGCTGAAGTATTATATTTTGACCAAAGTGCACAAAAGCCTTCAGAGTCTGTCAAAGGATTAGTGTGCTTCAGGGATCTAAGCATTTCACTTATGCAATGGTAAATTAAAATTTTTCTTTTAGCCACTTAAAATATAATTGTTCTTAAATAACACATTTATTGAAATTTTTTAGTTTCATTTTACAAAAATTGTTAAGAAATGCTTATAGGTTGGACCTCTATCAATATTTTTTTTATTAATGTTTTGGTTATTTAGGGATGCATTAATGACAGATCAAACCCCTAAAACAATTTATGCTAGATCCTAAAATGGTACAAAATATCCCAAGACTGGCATGTCATTGTTAATGACACAACATAAAAAAATATAAATTATTTTTTTTTCATAGTCTTTCTACAAATAAAGTATCCAACAAAGCAGTGCATGATAAAACAGCAGCAACGTCTCTATACTGAGTGCAAGAATACCAAATGAGTGTCATATACTGAATGCCAGTAAGGAGGATGTTCTCAAATACGAGGAGACGCAGCTAATGGAAATATCAAACCTAAAAGCGGGAACAATAACCTAAGAATCACCTATAAGCCATGTTGGTCGTTGGGAAGAAAGCACCTCTGAAAGCTGAGGTAGTCAATTTTTTTTCATATATATAAAATACTGGTAATCATGAACTGGTAATCATGTACTTGTTTGGATTGCTGTACTCTGCTCCCTCTGGGCATGAAAAGAGGTGAAAAATATGATTTGCGACAAACAGAGGCTACATTTTCTGTTTTCCCCAGGTTTACATCTTTAACCACAGTTGAAGGGCCATAGAACAGCTATCTCTTGGGTAAACATTACAATAGCAGCAATAGAAAACAGCAGACAATGTTTTTTTTTATGCTGCAGATATTGAGAAGAGCTGGTGAATGGGACAGTGGCATGTCATTTTGTAATTCTATGTTTTGTTATCAAATTACTGGTGTAGTGTCTGAGAAGTTGATATATCAAATGAGCAGAGGCTGTTCACTTTCATGGTTACATGTTTATTCAATAACATATTTCCAGGTACATATTCATCTAGTTCAACCAAAAATTTCAAAAATTAGGAATGCTATCACTTAAATAAATAATACCACCTTGCATCCTCAGAACCTTGAACCAATGGTTAATCCAGAGCAAGGCAAGAAAGTCTTTATAATGCAAAGTCCAAGAAATTCCATCCTGAACTCCAAAAGAAATCAGATTCTCTTTCGATCAGTTGATGCCCAGATTGGGTCATAGATATATTTGTAATGGATCACCACAGGACTATGTTGTAAACATATGTTGTTGAAGGGAAAAAGCATTTGCGAGTCATATAGCAAACTTTTTCTGTTTCAAATCATATACTCAGATATGACCCACGCCATAATCTATAACCAATGCATTTAGTGTATCACAGAGAGAGTTCTTTTCGGTGGCATGAAGACTAGACATGTGCAGTGCATTTCATTGTGAATCAAAATTCAGATAAAATTTTTAATATTCAGAGATTCGGATGTATCTGAATCTATGAATTACGATAGTAATGAATTTAAACAAATTCAAAATGTAAAAAAAATAAAATATGTCTAAAATAATGAATTATCCAAATTTGAATCTAATTCGAAAACTAAATCAAATTCAAAAAGGAATTTGAAAACTAATTTGAATAGTAAACATATTGCTTGCTGAGTATTGCACATGTCCTACAAAGACTATGGGGGGATTTACTAAAGCTGGTTCACTCAGAATCTGATGTACCTGTGCATGGTAGCCAATCAGCTTCTAAACTTCAGCTTGTTCATTAAGCTTTGACAATAAAACCTGAAAGCTGATTGGTTTCTATACAAAAGTTTAAATGATTTTGCACTCTCCACAATTAGTAAATAAATCCCTGTGTGTATTAGTGGATCTAAAAGATTTGATGCCGTTTGAAGCCAAAGTGTGTTCAAATATTGATTTGATTTAGATTTTTCTTTTGTTTGCTCATTTACAAAAATTACTTATACCCTCCTAATGATCTGTTCTCAAAGAAGTATACATTCAGTTCAGCTGACCTCTCCTTTCCTCATAACTGAGGTCCTCAAAGTTCATAACTTTACATTTATTAGCATTAAACCTCATGTAGTTTCCCAAAAATATAGAGCATCTAGGTCAGTTTTTAAGAGACTTAATTTTACTACATAACTTTGTTGGAATTTGACTTTCCTAACCAGCTACTCACCAGACTTGGTTTCTAAAGCCAGCCATAGACAGATCGAATCTCAGCCGGTTTAGCAGTGACCGGATGAGATTAAAACCATGTATGGGCAGCTGAATGTGCTCAAGTTGATTGATCAATCAACCTGGGAACATCAGCCTGTCAAATTTTACATGTGATTATTGCTAAGAGCTATTATAGCCGCTTGCAGTAATCACCATGTTCTCCTGGGAAGGGTGGTGGGGGGTGCCCTTTTACCCCACCCAGAGAACACAATGGCTCTGTGGGGGGATTGACTATGTTGATGGGGGAATCAAGCAGTTTTCTTTCCTGCAACCATGGGTTGCACTCCATCTATGGCCAGCTTAAGACCATAATGGTTAGGGTTGATATATTTAAAATTGTGTTCATAATTGTAGAGAAAAAGATGTCTTAGTTGGTGTTTTTTGTGCAACATAGATAGAGCTGGGGAGTGGGCTTATTCTTATTTTGTTTCTTTTTATCTGCTATGTAAAAGAGTCATTGTTCAATCTGTCTAGGTGCTCTGTTTCTTTACATAAGATTCTAATTTAATCAGTGTGACCTGCATATATGCCTTATGGGTATTCCATAGAATAAAACAGTTAACATCGGTGTAATTATTTTTCTCAAAAAACAAGTGATGTGTTTAGGTTATTTGGTAAAGTAGTTGTTGATCAGCAAGGAGGAAAGTGTTGAGTCTGAGGTGGTGGTCAGTAATTTCAAGGGTAATGAGAGAATAATCTGATGAGGAGATTATTCCAATACTGGAGAGAGAGATAGCTTGGAATGAATGTTTGTCCATAAGAACATAGTCAGTCCTGGAGTAGGAAGCATGGTCAGGTGAAAAAAAGGTATAGTCTTCTACCAACTCCAGGTGTCATAAAGGTCATATTTTAAAATAAATTAGTAAGGTAATGGGATGCAGGCCTCTTAGCAGAGGAAGAGCCTGGGGGGGGGTAGCTAACCATGTTGAAGTTCCTTCCTATGATATAATACTGTGCTTCTAATTTGAATAGGGGTTCAAGAAATCATTGTTGATTGGAGTTAAGG